GTCCGTACCAAGCTGCCCGCGACGGTGAAGATGTGGCCATTCTAATGGCAGCGCGTGGGCTAGTGCAGGGTGACGTCACCTTCTTTATTGACTGTCAGGGCACGGTCGATTGTGTATCAGATCCAAGCCACGCCTGTAGTGCTGCCAACCTCAGATGCCACATCTGGGAAGAAGTTCACAGTAACCTGCCTGAAGCGAGGGCGGTCAAGGTGAAGGCCCACCTTCCGTACAGCGCGGTGACAGAAGGCCGTGTCTCTGAATTCTGCTGGGCGGGAAATAGGGCGGCGGACATCTATGCTGGCAAAGGTGCCGCTCTCCACCCCGATCCCAGCCCAGGATTTGATGCGTTAGAGTGCCTCCAGGAGGCCGTCAAAGGCTTCGCTAAGTGGGCTGCCGTCCAGGAAGTCCACATGGCTGAGGCTGAGGCCTTCGACTCTCTCCCGCTCCCTCCTCCTCGGCGTCGGGATGGGGGGGACGGTGTGGACGTGGGGCGGCGGGGGGAGGGGAGCCAGGTGCGCCCGAGGGCGCCGCGACCGTCGGCGATCTTGGCCCGATCGCAGCGGCGGCGTATCCTCAGCCCAGCAGTGACTGGCGAGCTCGAGGCTTTCGCCGCCCTCCAGAGGCACACGATCGAGGAGGTTAGTGTCTTTCTTGGGTCGGGCCTCCCTCCTCCCCCACCCAAGAGCAGCAGAGTCTTTATCTGCCGTGCCTGTGGTGGATATGCATGGGGTGGAATTCAATCCCTGGCGAGGCGGTGCGATGGCCGCCCAACCACCACCACCTTCACCCGCCAGCTCAAGAGAGCGGGTGAAGGCAAGTTCCCTTGTGGCTCCAAACAATATGCTGGCTGGACCGTCGGGCCTTGGAAGGCCACTTCGCCCCAGGCCTTGATGGGCCTCCTCGCGCCTAAGGCGCGGCATGTTGTTTGGACCAAAGCCTGCCTTGGGCTTCCATCGAGATTTGGGGCCCGTGGCTTGATACTGAAATGTTGCTGGCACACTTCGGTCTCAACTCTGATCACCTGGATCAGATGATTGCTGAGAGACGTGCCCTTCTCGAGCAGATGCAGCGTGAGCGTGCTCGAGCCACCCACCAATGAGTGTGTGTGTGTGTGTGGTGTGCATCGTTTCGCACGGATTGTGTGTGTGAATGCCCCAGGCGCGCATACTCTTGGTGAATGCATGAGGAGGAGGGGAGCGACGACGAGCAAGAAGAAAAAGAAGAAATACATGTATGATCATGTGGGGGCTACCATATATATATGTGTGTATACACACATGTATCCACTTAAACGAGAACATCATATACATACATGGCCTGCATGTATATGTATGGGCCGAACCCCCTTTCTTACCCTCACGCTCTCTCTTTCTTTCTCTCTCTCTCTCTCTCTCTCTCTCTTTCATTCCCTCCTCCCTCTCTCTCTCTCTCTCTTTGCGATCTCTCTCGTTCTCTCTTTCTCTCTCTATCTCTCTTTCTCGCTCGCTCGCTCGCTCTCTCTCTCTCTCTGTCTCTCTCTCTCGCCCCCCCGATTCCTCTATATGTATGTGTATATATATATGTAAATATATATGGGTAGCCCTACCTGTGTGTTTCGAGTTATCCCTATGTGTGTACTTTTTTTCTGTGGGAAGACGTATACATGTATAGGCTAAGTTTTACAGACGTAACTATATATAACGCCCATGTCCGCATAGGTTATATGTGTTTACAGCTATACATCTCTCTACATACACATATACTATTGATGTACATGCGCAACCATGAATATATATACACACACCTCTCATTATCCCTCTCTGCCTGCACCTCTACAACGACATACGTATGTGTATATGCATAACGGACATACCGGCATAACTACACACATGCAAACATACATACAGACATACAAACATGTACACCTACACACATCTACACACATGCAACCATACATTCAGATAGACATACATACCTACATACATACAAACATGCACTTATATATATATATATATGCTTATAGTAAGTGAACACGTGTACAAGCACGTAAAAAGTAGCGCGTACGTATTGATATGTATGTGTGCTGGTATCTCTCTTTCTACACGAATATGTATACATGTGTAAGGTGACGCATGAATGTGCATATAGACATGTGCGCATGTATGTCTAAACGAAAAATGTGTATACGGTGTGTATACGTATATGTATATGTGTATGAATATATATATATATATATAAAAAAACATATATCTGTATACATACATACACAGATGTGTGTGTGTGTGTGTCACTCCCCTTCGTTCTCCCTCCCCCCTGGTTTACAATTTCTCGAACACATATTCCAAGACCTGCGTTCCTGGTTCCTGGTTCCCGATTAACCGATTGCTCCCGGTTCCCAATTCCTGGTTTCCGGCTCCCGGTTCCCAATTCCCCGCTCCCAGCTCCCGCCTCCCGGTTCCGGCTCCCAATTCCCGGTTCGTGGTTCCAGGTTCCCGGTTCCCGGTTCCCAGTTCCGGGTTCCAAATTCCTGGTCCTGGGCTCCCGGTTCCCGATTCCCAAATCCCGGTTCCCACTTCCCGGTTCCCGGTTTCCGGTTCCTGGTTCCCGGTTCCAAATTCCAGGCTTCCGGCTCCCAGTTCCTGGTTCCCGGTTGCCGGTTCCTGGTTCCTTTCAGTATTGCTCCATAGTGGAAGGAGGAGAAGGAAGAGGAGGAGGAAGAGAAGGGCGGAGGGAGGGAGGGAGCAAGGTGAAGGAGGGACGAAGGAAGACGGACGAGGGGAAGAGTATGAGAAAGGGGGTAAGAATTAAGGAGAAAGGGGGAAAGCGGGAGAAGGTATGGAGGAAGAAGACCCTCCCGACACCCTCGCCTGCCGATGCCTGCTCTCGCCTCCATCCCTCTCAACTTCCACGATAACCCTCTTCTCGTCCTCCCCCCCTACACACGCACCCTCGCACCCTTCCTCCCCTCGTCCACTTCATCCTACCCCGAACTCCTCGACATCCTCCCTCTCCCCCTCTTCTTCACCCTTCTCCTCTTCATCGTCGTCCTCCTTTTCCACTTCCTCCTCATCCTCCTCCTCCTCCTCCTCCCTCTTGCTCAAATTTCCTCCAAGCAACTCCTTGTACTACCCCAAACAAACCCTCATCATGACACGTCAATGCCGACTATTGCCAGATCTTCCACTCCAAGCCCAAACATGTTCTCCACTTCGAAAGGTCGGTCGCTGACCAGTGCCGCTTCACCATGTTGGCGAGAAAACGTAACCAGTAAATTGTGCACTGTCTAATGTCCGGCAGGGCTTGCCATCTCTCCTTCAAATGCCACCGAGGTCCTAGAGCCGCCCCCAGGTGAGACGTGACTCTAGCACTCTGCTACAGGGATACCCTGGAGAATTCGAACCCCACACCGCTCAACCTAGCCGCTCTAATTGAGACTATAATGAAGTCGAGCCCTCTTCTGAAATTCCAAAGCCAGGCGATTAGTTCGACGGTGGTGGATGGGTTCGCCACATGGTGCTATTCGACAGCTTCCCTGTGTGCTCGAAGCGAACAGAGACACACACGGACATGTATGCATAAACTCGCAAAAATGGTGAGCACAAAATGGGCGATGGCAATGCAAAATTCAAGGCGTCCCCCTCCGTGCACCATCGCCTTGGAGCCTGTAGCAACCACAAGGCAGCTCGCCGCTTCGGCCCCACCGCCAGACCAAATGGCGAGCATACATCGGGCACAGCACCATAAACTGACCACTCTAGGCCCTGGATTGCGCCATGGCTTACACAATCCAATGTATTACACCATAGGTTGCACCAAAGGTTGCGACAGCCATGGACTGCGCCATGGGTTGCGCCAGCCATGGGTTGCGCCATGGGCTGCACCATGCACACATTGCGCTGAAGGTTGCGCCCTAGGTCGCGCGCCCCGCGGCCGAAACCAAAACGGCCTGTTAGTGGTTGCGCTATGAGTTGCGCGCTCGGCGGGTGAAACCAAAACGGTTGTGCCATAAGTTGCGCGCTTGGCGGCCGAAACCGAATGGCCCGTCACTGGCTGCGCAACATGTCGCGCTCGGCCGCCGAGTAAAAGCCCACCTACTGGCTGCGCCACACGCTGCGCGCTCGGCCACCAGGAATAAGACGGCCTACTACTGTCTGCGCCATAAGCTGCGCGCTCGGCCGCCGGGAATAAAACGGCATCCTATTGGTTGCCTCACAAGTTGTGCGCTCAGCGGCCGAAGATCAAACAACCACATTAATGGAGCGACCAGTCCAGTCCAATCGGTCTTGCCAATTCAGTCGGACAGCTCAGTCAATTCAGTCAGTTGACCTCGCGAGAAACCAATTCGTGCTACGCCCGAGAGCAAACAAAGTGACTGATTCGTAGAGAATGTGGTGTTACAGTTGCAGGCTGGGTCACGAGCGCGCGCACGTGCGAGGTGAGCGGATAGGATGCGCATCTCATCTTCCAGGCTAAACTCCCATCGCGTTACCCGCTTTCAACATTTGAGCTGCCCTTCTGCTCGAATGATTTTGAGCCGCTGAATTTGCAGAGTAGGATTGACTATGCCACACATCTCACCCTACTTGAGCGTATACCTTATCTCTGAGAAGATCCAGAAGCTATGCAATGACGTGGCGGCGAGCCAGCAGAGTGCTGGTACCGAGTGCGTGACGAGATCAGCATGTGAAAGTGGCAAAAGTACCACCAAGATTTTGAGTTCAGTAAGCTTTCACATATCTGCCGCATTAGTCCTACGAAGGATTTGCAAGAGTGGGGAGGGGGGTACAGGGGAGGGAGGAGCCGGGGGTGAGGGCGAGGGCGATGGGGAGTGCGAGGGGGTGAGGGGGAAGGGGAAAGAAGAGGGGACGGGAGGAAGGGAGAGGGGGAAGGGAAAAGAAGATGGGAAGGGAGGGGGGGAAGGGGAAGGGGAAGGGAAGGATTTTCTCGACACGTCCACTACTTCTGCGCCATTCGTTGCTACTCCTTTTATCTGCAAGTCTCCTCCGACGTCCCCCCCTCCG